TCCACGGGTTCGAATATTTAAACTCACCAGAAGAAGTACCGGCCTATCAAATCACCATGGAAACAGACAAATACGCAATGTGTTTTTTCATACTTTTATCCGTTCTGGTTTTAAGCGCTGCTATACTGAGGGTTTCTTGGGGTATTAATGTTGATAAAAATTGTTATCGCGACGCCTTTCCTGAAAATATTATGAAAATGTGGAATAAAACACTATGGAAAATTAAAAATGCATACATCCGTTCATTTATTTACAATCACATTCCTAACACCGGGAGCAATGCCCCAGCAAGTGTTTTTGATACCACTTGTGTTTACTCAAAATAAATAGTCTGATACTTGTTTCGGCAGTCCGCAGATCCCTTCCTTACCGACCTCAGCCCACTACGACCCACCGCCACCCACGGGCCCCGCGACACTAGCACCGCCTAGTGAAGAAATTAAAAACTCCCGCCATGCCCCCTACCCGTCCAATAACGGCCACACACGCCGCGACACTAGCGCCGCCTGGTGGCGAACGTTGGCACTTTTACCAGATGATCCGCATACTACCGGTAAGTGAAAAAACACATCAAAACCATGTACACTATGTAACGTGACATTTTCCTGGGGAATGGAAAATGCCCATTACCTTCGCCCTACATCCCCTGAGCCTAATAAAACCTGCTAAAATTTAACCTTATGGGCGCCAGGTAATTTTTGCAGGAATGCGGCCTCAAGGATTATCGATCGGCGATAATCCGAGGAATAACCGAAATGTTATTTTCGCCAGGGAAATCGATAATTTCCCGGAATCGGACTCTCAATGAGTGAGCGCGCGAGAGAGAGAGAGAGAGAGAACAAGAGAGACGGCACTATGCCGCACAGCTCGGTTAACAGCGAGCAGAAACCCACAAAATAAATCTAACTTCCCTTAACATTCGATAACTCAGAATCCGCTCAGCAGATTCCGGAAAACCCTGAACCATCCGGTCCGGGACATTATTCCCCACAATCCCACTTAAATTTAGGCGTAAGGGTGCGTAATTAGCTCCGTTGAAGCAATTATCAACCACGAGGAAATTTAACGCGCGATTCCCCACCTGTTGCACATAACCGCTCGTTGGCGACCTTGATTGCGCCACGAGGGAGAGCCTTGTTCGTTGGCCGTGGACTACTTTTCCCAAAAAACATCATGAAAATACCCTCAAAATCCCACAATTTACACCAATGACCTGCCGACCGCACTGGGGGATAATGCAGGCCGAAATTATTCGGAAAAACCCTCCACAAACCTCTTCAGAACCACCCAAAATTTGGGGGACACAACCGATGCCATTTCCATGGCTCGGAAAAATCTCACAACCGCCAATAATTATCGGGGAGCCGCCAAAAGGAGAAAAATCTTTAAATAAAACCGTAAAAACTCACTGTAGATTTTCTTGCTGCTCTCTTCTTCCTTTTCAGGACCATCCTGGTGCAGCAATATTCTCCTCGTGTTCGGGGTATCTCTCGGGAGGTCCTGGTCTGAGTCCTTGGCTCCCACTTTCCACTCACGTGCGTGGTGTTTCACGGTCAACGCGTAACTGATTTTCGGCGGTCAGTGTCGCGTTACGCTGACCCCCTAATCACGCCTACCAATCGATCGGGTGTCGATTGGTGGATCCCTCTACCTTATTGTGGACCAAGCCCTTCGCGAGGGAATTAATTCAAATTTGAATTAATTGCCCCATCCTAAAATTTAGCTATCACCTTCCTTTCCTCAGGATCGGTTCCCCTGGGTTCTCGGGATTGAAAGACCCTTATTCCTAATTCCTAAACCTAATTTTATTTTCTTAACCCTTAATTAATTTGGCAATCCGCCGGGATAACGACTGATCTTATCCCGAGCGGCCTTCCACCCGTATTCACTCTTGGCAATTCGTAGGGGTAGTGACTGAGTCTGAGTCCCGTACGACCTTCCACCCGTAATCAGTCTTTGGCAATCGGTCGGGGTTGTTAAAATTTTTAGCCCGTACGGCCTTCCACCCGTACCAATTAATTCCCAGAACCCTTTTTCCTAGAGCGCCGGCTTTTTTAGCCGGACCCACCCGACCCGATGGGCTTACCTTATCCTTCTCCTAACATCCTCCTAACCTTTAACTTACATCTAAGCCACCCCAAGGGGAGAAATCCTAGTTTACCCTAAACCTAACCGATGTCCTAGTAGCCTCGCTCTCTCTCATTTTTGGGGATCCTAACGGGCATCCCCGATGCTCGTTACAACTATTCTCTCCTACACTTTTTCCCTCTCTGCCCCTGGTTTTTATCTCGGATTTTTTTCTATTCTACTATATCTCAAGTGAAGTGTAATAAATTTAAATTCTATTTGAAGGTAAACCTTAGTGTATCTTTCTCTTTGTGAGCTAATTCCTCATATTATAACCTACTTCAGTACTTAGTCCGACGCAATAGGCCTCACTAAGTGAGATTTATAAGATCCTTTCTCCCCCGGACACTACCTGTCGTGACTAGTCGCGGTCAACTCATCTGAAGGGTTCACTGTGTAACGTGACAATTCCCGAAGCGACCGGAAATGCCCATCACCTTCGCCCTTCCTCCCTCTGGCCTCCTTGCCGATGCAAAAACTTAACTAAATTGGGACCTAAAAAGGTTGCCGGGCGCCAGCTAATTTTCCGGACCGAGGAATCAGCAACTGGAAAACTAAAATCTAGATTAAAACCGAAAAACTTATCACTAACCGGTACTTATATCTAATTCAGCAAGGGGGTGGAGGGAGAGGTAACGGATACCTGCGCTGCTCAATATACTAGGTTGTGGAGAGAGGGGTGGATTCGGGGGAAAGGGCGAAAATATACAAATAAATAATTTCCCAAACTGCACCAACGTCCTCAAAATGAGCTAAATTTTATTAAATTAAACCCCAATTCTGATACCGGAAATTTCCCAGTTGACCGAGGTCAACGGTATTCAATTCACCCGCCCTGGCGGTAATAATTTCCAAAAAGAAAAAAAAAGGTAACCCCATTTAGGTCCGCGAGGCACCGGAGGGTGCTCGGGATTTCTCCGAAAATTCGGGACCCTGTAGATATAATTTATTACAAAATTTTCCCATAGAAAATCTCCCCATAATTCCACGAGTCTTCAGGAGAGGCTCGGGATTTTCCCAAAAAAGCTAGAGCCCCATAGGAGGGCTAATAATAAACTTTTCCCATGGAGGAATTGTAAATGAAAACGCCACGTAATTCCGCGGGCCCTCGGGAGAGGTCCGGGATTAATCCCCAAAAAGAAAGAATTTAATTAATTACGTGTGAATTTTTAATATTACCGAGGAAATTCTCGGCGAGCCTGGAAGAGGCGTTATCGGAAAGCGAGAGAGAGATGGAAGATGATGTGCAAGAGAGATCGCACTACGCCCAACGCTCGCGGCACGCGTTAGAAAATTTTCCGACGTATAAAAATTCGCGCCGCCTCAATGCCTCCACCGATCGGCATCGGATAAACTCCACCGATGAGGGGGAATATTCGCGACCATCCTCCCAAAATTGGGGAATTCCACCATTTAAGGGGATCGCGATATCCCGTTTTAAAGAAACGGGATTTTCTCAGCACCGTTGTGCTGGAATTCACGCTCAACGTTGAGCGGAGCGGAGTGGGGGAAAACACTCGCAGCCTCGACGGCATGGACACCCCTCAAGGTTACCCGAGTAAATTCCTCACGTTTCCACGGGGGGTTTTCGACGGTTTCCTCCGGGATTTTCACTTGTTTTTGTGCGCGATGTTCCCCAAAACTTCCACAGGGACGGCCCTGTGGGATGATTAATCCCCCACACGCGATCAGCCGTGGTTTTCGGATAAACCATGGCTGAGAAACACTCGCGACACCTCCACGGAGGGAAACGCTGTTCGATCTGTTGATCGAACAGGATCGATTTACACTCGCGAACCGAATTCATCATACGTCCTCCAGTATCCGGTGTTACTGGGATAAATTAAAGAAATTTCCTCACCTTTCCACTCGGTTTCCGGGTGACGTGGGATCATTCCATTGTCTTTTCTCTCCTCTTTGCTCTCTGGGGAAAAACTCGTCCGTTGGCTCGTACGTCCTGGCGATAACTGCCAAAATATGGCGGAACTCGAGTCTCGTCGGAACATTAGTTCCGGTGGATTAAGCGCGGTGGCACTAATTGTCCTGGCGCGCTAAGACCTCCCCATTCAAATTTGAATGGGGGAGTTAATTCTAATTAATTGTTCCTAATATCCTAATTATCGCGGCTAGTCTTTCCCGCTTGTTTTCCCCGGGGATTCGTGGACACTCTAACCCTAAACACTTAACCAAAGACGGCAATTCGGGGAGGTGTCGGTCGTACCACCCCCACCGACCTTCCAACACTAACCCGTAATTAAAATTCCTCACGAATCCCTCTTTCCGGGGTGCTGGAACCCGTAGCCAGACAGTTCATCCCGGGAAGATTTCGCGAACGGAATAACCCCCAAATCTACGTCGGATGATAATTTCACATTATCCTTCTTCGCGACGAGATTGAGGACCGACATGATTTCCAACCCTAATTACTGATCCCAAAATCCTAAATTTTTCCTTAATAAACCCCTAATCTCCTGCTGATTCGGCAGGGAATAACCCTTGTAATTTTTCCCACCGTAGATTCCCCTAAAATTCCCTAATCTTCGGAATTAGCAGGGAAATATCCTGAAACTTTAAACCGCCTTAGCGTAGCCTCCGGGCTGTCCGGGAAAATGGCGAGACCGGAATTTTATTTTATTTTATTAGTGGTTATTTATTTTAAATTTTCTCCACGCTCTGGGACTCGCGGGTTGGGCGCGGCTCTCTCTCTCTCTTTCCAAAAAAAATGATGCACGTCACAACTGTTTACGCGATATTTCGACCTACCTAGTGACCCAGTGTCGGCTACATGAGAAGGGCCAAGAGAAATCCACGTTTGATAAAACATACAATCGCAATTTATGACCATATAAAAACAGCAAAGTGATTTTTTATAGGGGACTTCTGCATTATGAAAGGCGGAAATCCAGGGATCTGCACAGAATTGAGTCAATGTACCATAATAGATCAGCAGTTACAGAATGGTACATTAGCGGTTGCTCGATGTGGTTGGGCTGGATTTTTACCAATTATATGCTGCCCATTGAGTTCGCAAGATATTTCAACAGAGACATTACGGGAAAGATCTGGAGCAAAGCCAAAAGTCACGATGCATTCAATGTTCTCAACTTCGACTCCTCTAGTTGTGCCAGGAGCTACAAAATTAGGTCTTCTTGCAATGCAAAGTAATATCTTGTAATGTTTTTCTTTTACTATTGGATTTTACTCTCAAGAATATTGAACTGAAAAATTTCATGATGTTTTTTCTTATGCACAAAAAGATTTTCCCATTCAAAGAAAGTATATGATTCACTCTAATTGACTATCATAAGTTTCGTCCTCTAGCACAAGGAAGGTGTCCGTTTCGATTTAAAAACAATTAACGCGTAAATACGACGTCATAATATAATTTAACCAATTATAAACTGTAATAGTACACGTTCGGTTAATTCGAAATTTTCTTATATCATGGAAAGAAGTATAACGATTGTGTGGCTAAGCAAGAACACTATTGATTCGAATTATCATTATTCATTCAACGGAACATTTCACTCATTTATTTTGTTTTATTTTTTAACAACTCATTTTGTAATATCGTTACCACAATTTCTACACCTAACCCATTTTAAACTCCGCTTAACAAGTGAAAGAGGAGAGAGATTATTTTTAGGTGGGATCAAGCTAGATGGGACTAAATAGTAAGGTATACGACAATGGAAAAGGAAGAACGCCCTATAAATCTCTTTGACGTATTTATTCTTAAGCGCACACAAATACACTACAAATCTAACGTAAAAACCCGGGATTGTTTGAGTTAGCGAGAAGAGTAGTGTTTTGAGTGTAATGTGTCTGGATTGTACATCCGATTACTTAAACGAAGGAGGGCGACAATAGAGTGCTTAAATGGATATATGGTGCATGACCGATTCACAGGGTGTCCAGTAAATTCTGTGACATCTAGACGATATCATTGATTGGTACTTCGTTTTTCTATTTTTTTACTAGCTCACTCTCATATCACGTTGAAACTCTAAAAGAACCTACAAACTTCTTGTTTCTATACACGACAAGTGGTGCGGAGGAAAGCCCTTCCAATTCAGTAAGGGTATCACTCAGATCCCATTCCCCTGACCGCGAAGCCTATCATAGATACCTGAAGTTCTTTTTTTTCGTCACTGTTGGTTAGCAATCCTCGTTTTATAGCGCCATCTCTCTTTTCTCTAGCGGGGACTAGCTATTCTCCTTTTTCTGACTGCCGTGCGCTCTTCGTAGCACCTACTTTTTCTTATAGGCATTACTTTGAGTATAGATGAATTAATAGGATCTTGATTCTCTTCCCATGAAGATCTCATTCTTCTTATGGTGCCTTTTAAAATTTTTTTATCACTGCGAACGCCGATTTCCCTTGTATTAGCCTGCGGGACTTTTTAGGTTTTATTTTTACGGAGTGAAAAGTCTTACGTTTCTTTACTTGAGATATATTTCTCAATTGCGACGTCCGCAACAAAGCTATTCAAGCTATTCCATTATAGTTGTCATGCCCCAGAGATACAATTAATTAAGAAATAGTATTAAGTAATTTCTCATAATATGAGGACACGCGAAGTGGCACATATTATCAAAAAGATGTAATGTCGAATCAGACAATGTTGAAATATAAACTATCCCGAATATTTGTAGAATAAGTCCACATATATTCGTCATAATGTAGATCACTGGGGTGCAGTGTGAGCACTTCGCCTCATCGACGGCTATGGCCTTTAAGTACACCTGGGACTTCACCCGATGTCTCTCCAGGTGTAAAACAAAGATAGAACACTTGTTGCAATCGAATCCACGATGAAATATAAGCTCGTGAGTTCGCTGCAACTGGGGTCAGTCAGTCAGGTTGTCAGACACAGACAATTAGTAATCCGATTATTCGTTAAGTCACTTTTCTTGTAATTCATATTGCCTGATATTTACGGCATTAATCAAAGACTATATTTATTGAATAAATCGTTTAATCGTTAAAAAGTTGAATCTCCCTGATAGATATTCATTTCTAATTATCTACAAGTGATCTATCCCTATCTTCGAACCCAACCGCTCGGGCCTATAACATAGTCAATAATTAAAAAAAAGATTGTATTTCACCCAACCAGACAATGAGGCAACGGTAATTTCAAATGAGGAACAAGAACAAAGAGTAAAGAACTCTCTCCCTCTACCACTATCACCGGGATCATTTCGGTTACTCGAAATTCTTAAATATTTGTTCACTACTGACTTTATACACGTCGATTGCAGGGCGTCGTGTATACATTATGCCGGCCCGTATATCAAGGATGTCCGTCCAGTTTTATTTGTGACGTGACATTTTCTAAACGACCGAAAATGCCCATCACCTTCGCCCTTCCTCCCTACGTCCTCCTCGCCGATGCAAATACTCAACAAAATTGGGACCGAAAAGAGGTTGCCGGGCGCCAGCTAATTTTTTTTTCAGATCGAGAAACCAGCAACTCGAAACTTAAGCCTAGATTAAAACCGCAAAACGTATCACTAACCCGTACTTAGACCTAATTCAGCAAGGGGTTGAGGGAGAGGTAACGGATGCCTGCACTGCTGTTTGATAATGTAACATAAATATTAAACGATCTATTCTACTTCCTTCATACATGAAGTTCACACAGAATTATTCAGGTCTTTTTACTAAATTACTCAAGGGTTGGGGGTAAGGCCAGCCAACTTGCGGCTACACGAAAGATTGAACAAAACAAGGAAAGGATGGCTCTACTCTGAAGAAAAGGAAAGGGTAGAAGTGAGGGATCCGAATGACAAAAAATGATAATGAAAATTAGGGGCTTTATCTACATCCAAAAAGACGCTCACCGTTGGGGGCGAGGACCTTGCGGGGGTTTTGTGAATGTTTCTTGGGGCGGGAAAGGTAATGATGGGTACTCACGGGGATGGCGGCTTCCTTAATTCTCCACAAAATGATCTAACCGATAACTCCTCACGACGAGCGTTCCTCCCTTCGTCACTCAGCAGTATGTAATTAGCCGCAAATTATCAACAATTACAAAAACGAACTTATACAATCGATTGTAAATCGTTCGCAGGTGATTGTAAAAAAGGTCATAATGTTTAAGAGTAGATAGTTTTTTTATAAAGAAGTGTTAAACTAATGTTTCATGACAATTGTCATGTTTAACACTTCTGTTTATCAAAAAAACGTAAGTATTGAATTCAAGGTTTTTGCCCAACCCTAACTGGGTTTATGAAATTAACAGCATAAGCTGTAAGCTTGGGTGGGAATAACCAGGGATTACTCAAACGATAATTGTTCTCCAAATGTCACCCATTAGTGAACAAGTTATTATAATTATTAATGTACTTACAAAAAGTACAATGGTTTCGATGTGTCACTCAACGTTCAATTAAAAGCCAGCCGTAGTGAAATCTTTCAAAATTAAAGTGAGAAAGACATTAATCTATCCATAAACGTATAACAGAAAAATCCTCTGAATAGTTGCGCATGCGCCGTCATACTTGCAAAGTCTTATCCCCTCCACGCAATTTTGCAATCACGTTTATTGCTGATAATTTCCAGACTAATGACTCTTAAACGTCGATTCAAACGAATATAGTATTTACAAACGAATTGCAAACGATTACAATAAAAAAAATCATTTAAGAGTGATTAGAAAAAAAAATGCGGTTAACTACATGGGTCATAAGTTTTTTATTTTTTATAAAAAAACTATCTACTCTTAGACATTATGAACTTTTTTACAATCACCTGCGAACGATTTACAATCGATTGTATGAGTTCGTTTTTGTAATTATTGGTAATTTGTGGCTAATTACATACTGCTTCGTCACTCCAGGTTCTCTACAAATTTCTCACGGATCACGAGCGCACTTTTCTCCCACAATTCTCCACAAATAACTCTCCGCAATATCTCAAACTTTTTCCACACAAAACTCTTCGACAATCTTTCAGACAAACTCTCCAAACTCTTTCCAAATCTCTTCGCAATAATTTATTCTATCCACGGGCGCAGCTGTATAACGAGTGATGGCGTCGCATCACTCGTTCTCGTTCTTCCCCGATTATCGGTGATAATCGGGGTCAATCGGGGACATTCGTCATTGAGTGTCCTCGTCATGATTATTAATTTGAGGTTCAGTGAGGGATGTCCTTTTCTTTTCTTTTCCGGGTCACGTGTGCTGTGACGTAGTTGTGGGGGGTTTTCTTGTCTTCCATCGTGCGCGTGTGGCGCGGAGGGGAACGGCCAGGGGGGGGGGGCGTTTCTCCTTCTTTGGTGCGATGATGTTTCCAACGGGCGTGGGTGTAGTGATGAGGGAGGACGCGGGGCAAGGGGAAGAAATATTACGGGAGTGGGAACCAACGGTGACCGGTTTTATAACCTTCTCTATTTATTTTACTTGTAACGATATTTTCCCCGGAGTGTTCCGTAAGTCCGGGGAATTGGTTACCTTCGCCGGGTCCGTAGCATCCGCGAATTTACCAGGAGGTCGCCAGCTATTTTAAGTGGGTAAAATAGTAAACCAGAGAGCCGCCTAGTTGTTAAGGATACAATTACAAAATACCATTTAAGCCGCCTAGTTGTTGAGGACACAATTCGGAAAGACCGAAGATGCCGGGGGAGGTGGGGGTTAGCACCTCCCCAGTAATAGCCGATAACACATACGGACGAGAGCGCAGAATGGTGGGGTTTGCCCGTTCTCGCGACAGGACAGACAATAAGTTCCGCCTAGTTGTGAAGGACACAATTAGCAAAGACCGATAAGTTTCCGCCTAGTTGTTAAGGACACAATTAGGAAAGACCGATGAATTAAAATTAGGTGCGTGACCAGAGATCGTCACTGTCCCTTTCCCAGGATGCAGTGAGGACCTCTGGAGACTTCCCGCGAAATACCAAAGTGGCGGATGTAAAGATAGAACGCGTGCGGGAGCACTGGCTCGCTCAGTATGCTGGGTTATGGAGAGAGGGTCGGAGTTCTTTTAGTGTGGTCGGACCCCGATAGCGTCGGAAGGTTGGTAGGGTAGGGTGATCGATAGCAGATCAGGTCGATAGAGGCGAGAGCGATCGGTAATTAGATAGCGGTAGAACGCCCATAGCTGCCAATATGCGCTAGCATAGCGAGAGCTCTAGGTATAGGTATACCTCCTACTATA